CACACACACACACACACACACACACACACACACACAACTTCAGCTGTGACACCTCCACCCCCATCCTGCCACATGGGATTGCAGCTTTAATTAGACTCACCTCCACTGTGACCTTATGACTATGCCTCATTTAACATTATAGTGAAATAACCATATAGAGGCACCCGCTGTAGCTGAGGCATGAGATTGGAGTTTGTTATATAACAAAAACCTTTACAACCCGCTCTAATATTTAGTTGATTGTTTAAAATGTGTACAATATCCAGGAATAAATCCGAGTATCTGTTTCTGCCCCTCTAACTTTTTAATTTATGTTTCGACCCTGAGGATGAGGGCCAAGCTTCAGGCAGAAATGAATGAGGTATTATTCATTCCCTCCTGTCTGGGCAGATGCGGTCAACGGCAGATCTTTGTAAGGATGTCACCCCTGATAAGAAATGGTCCAATTATTCAAACAGAACCTTTTGTCCAATTGATAAGCTCAGGCTCTAAATGCTTGTCCTGGAGATTTGAATGGAATATGTCTTAATATGAGAGAGACTGCAGCTGCTATGAAAGCAAATACAATTAGGCATGATTGGTTGTCTATCGGCACACAAAAGGCACGGACCCTCTGGGTTCCATTCGAGGTGTGACAATATTAATGCAATAATCAAGACCAAAATCTCAACATTTCCACTGGCGCATTGGCTTCTAATTATTCTGTTTACCAAGCACAGAATATCGTCCCTAATGGGAAACAACTCCTTTTTATTCCATTATTGGATAGTGTCAGTGACAATGTCTTTCATGGTGCACCTCCTGTAATTACCATTTTGTATAGTTTTATAAAAGCGCACACCTTTTTATTTATTTTTGTTATTATTATTATTTATTTAGCCACTAAAAAACACTATACACTGCTGATGAAGAGCCTGCCCTGCATTCAGGCATGCAGAGAAAAGTTGCTTCTAGTTCCTAAGAACATGGCTGTAAAATGCCACATTGCACTAGACCTCGTTCATTAGAATTGTACTTAAGCTTCTCCATCTCCTTTCTCTGCCTGCCTCAGCAGCCAGCTGCACCCCCCTTCAATATGTGTGTGTATGTATGTGCGTGAGTGTGTGTGCAGATGATACAGACAGCAAGAATATCAAATCCACATTTGTGCTCAGGCAGACGTCACTGTGTTTTTATTATTCAATTTATGTGTACAAAATGTCCTCACATCTTCAACATTAAAATACTAGGCTTGTTTTTACTGTGTTACCTTCCAGGAACTGTTGCTATGCATGATGCAGCCACTTTCTTGTCAGGCACAGCCGTGGGTTTACCCCCTCCCTTTTTACCTCTCCACTGAGGAAGCTCTTTGGGGCTTTGGTGTAGCAGCTGTTTGGTTCAGGTCTTTTCAACATCAAGCCGCCAATCCCTCCCCCATGCACTCAGAGGTCTGCTTGGTAGAAGCATCCACATACTGTCTACATTGCCCTACACAATACTGTTTCACATGGCCAACCTGCCTCTCCGAGCGTCTCTCAGCCAAGTGTGCGTGTGCGCCTGTACTGAATGGGATTAGCCGTTGCATGGCTTTACCCAAGTTGTTCCAGTCTGAATAAGAGGCACCCTCATCTACATATATTTGGCATATGTTTTGCACCCTCAAACAATTTTATCTCCACTCAGATTTTACATTATACAGGTGTTTGTGCGTGTATTTGTGGGTAAGCATGTATGTTTGTGGTGAGAGTTGAGCACAAGGATAATGTCTTAATTAAATCAAACAGTGTAAACCTGTCCAATGGCTGTAATCAACTGCCCCAGTGCGCCTTATCTAGCACTGCCAACGGATGCTCTGCCATCTGTTATGTAGATCGATACACTCACACATCACAGGAGAAATGGATTAGTGGCAATAAAGACCCTCTTCGCTCCCTCTCCTCCCACCCTTGCCTTATGATGTAAATAGACCATATGATCTAGAAGCTTGTCCAGCTAAATCTGGTCTGCACAAACATCACTGTACAATGTCTGGCCAGACACCAACATATCTAACAAGATTCTCTTGTTACATATTAGAGATGAACTCATCAAAGCTACGCATGTTGTTATATTGTAAGAAACACACACACACACACACACACACACACACACACACACACACACACACAC